AAATAATCTTAGAATTAAAAAAGTATACTAAACTATATTGATATTGATATGATTCAATTTCAACGTATGAAATTTAGTATAAAATTGTGTAATTTTAATAATATTCAAAGGAACTTAATATATACGTGAAATGTTTTGTTCCAGAATATTTTCCATACCATTGTTTAGATAATTGCCAATATCCGATTCTGATTGCCAATATCCGACTCTGATTGCCAATATCTGATTCTGATTGCCAATATCCGATTATGATTGCCAATATCTGATTCTGATTGCCAATATCCGATTCTGATTGCCAATATCTGATTCTGATTGCCAATATCCAGTTCTAATTGCTCTAATTCCTCTGGGATAGAGAGGTGGGATTTAAAAAAAAAAAATCATTCATTCGAAGTTTAAAAGAAAAAGCAGAGAAATATGAGTTTGACAGAAGAAGAAATGAATGGATGCGATTAAGAGAAGGTGGAGATGATCTGGATAAAAATCTATGCTGATTGATTATATTAATAACTAGCCAGTACCCGGCATGTGTTGCAATGCCGCGCAAAAAAATGATGTTTTAGTGTTTTAATTATCTTTTTAAAGTTCTTTTTATATACACAACATTTTTTGTTTTGTTTTTACCGTCTGGTAGGTATTTGAATAAATTAGAAAGTTTTTCGAGGAGTGATCAGGCCACACACAGCTGTCCACGTGAGCAAGCCACACACAGCTGTCCACGTAAGCAAGCCACACACAGCTGTCCACGTGAGCAAGCCACACACAGCTGTCCACGTGCGCAAGCCACACACAGCTATCCATGAGAGAAGCATGGATGCTCAAAATTTAGTCCACACATTTGTAGCGATTGATCCACCCATGCAGTAGTTCTGCTATTTAAAAACGGAATATTGTATAAGGGTTGTATTACTTCAGAAACCTACTTATCATGTCACACACACAATTTCATGTCGCTATTTGTATTTGATTAAAATTCTATCCACCCATGCGTTAGCGCTGTTTGAAATTATATCGCTCATGTAAGAAAAAACGAATTTAGGACCCCTGGCTCAAAATGGAATATTTTAATATGGTTGTAAAAATTCAGAAAACTTTTCGGGCTTGATCACGACAACTCACCAAAGTTTTATCGCATTCGGATAAATGGTATAGGACCGCATAGGGAAATTATTCTTTTAGAAAGCTCTTTTAAGAAAAAATTTTTTTTTAAGGCCAACGGGTTGTAATGACTTAGAAGAATGCGCGAGCTTGTAGACAATAACTCACCAAAGTCTTATCGCAATCGCTTGAATGGTGTCTGTCTGAGCGCATACGAAGCATAAATACATATACGCAGATGCTCATTTTTATATTTAAAGATAATTATTTGAACAAATTTATTTGATGATCTTATTTTTTTTTTGCATTCCGTTTCTTTACGCCAGGGGTCACCAAACTACGGCCCCGCGGGCCGGATCCAGCCCTCGTCGTCAGTTCATCTGGCCCGCTGACGGTACTTGAATTTGCTTGATAAAACGTTTTATCAAAATTTCAGACCCACCCCCATTGCTTGATATCAGATTTTATAAATGATTGATACGATTTATATTTAGGGGTTGTTTAAATCCTCTTCACATCGAATCTTTTACCTTTCTCACTATCTTTCAATTGTTTTTTCTCTTCACATAGAAACTTTAACATTATTCACAATCTTTTTATTTTTTACCCTCACAACAAATCTTTTATCTTTCTCACTATCTTTGTATTTTTTTATTTTCACTTTGAATCTTTTACCTTTCTCACTATCTTTTTATTTATCCTCTTCACATCGAATATTTTACCTTTCTCACTATCTTTCTATCTTTAACATTTATTTTATCACAACTCACAACTTGATATTGTTTATGGAATCAAAATATTACAATGCATTGAGCAGGCTTCTTTTAATTAAAACTGTGTGCGAATTTAACAAGGCTTTTCTATTTCTTCAAATCAGAAGTCATACCCATACTGGAAGAGTTGCGGGTGCATCAAATCTCCGTTCATATTCACTCCACTCCCATTTTCTCTACTTTTAAACTTCAGAAGAGAGGACCGGGTCGCACAGTCAGACGATCAACACCAATTGGCTCGCCACATCGGTCAAGTGCTCTATAGCAGAATGGGCTTATCCGGGTGTATGTGGTTGTCATCGTGTTTAATGTTAGAGTGGGGTTGATTTTATACACATTCACCGACCATGATTCACTTCCATAATTCTCTTAACTAATCGAATGGTTATGGAGGGACTTCTCGCAATGTTGATGTCAATGCACTTTCGATGTTTCTTTTGGTTTGCTTTTTTCTTTTCTTCTTTTCAAAAGATCACATTACATTAGCCTTATACTCAGACCTGCTTACCCAGTCTAAATGAATTTTGCAGTTAACCAACCATCCCACACAAAAAAAGAGTTTTAACTAAAATAGCGAAATCGTGTATTAGCCTGAACCATATTATTCATCTCCTTAGTCCAACTTTAAGATTAAGCAGCTATTATGTTTACATTTAAGCTACACACTGTACTATGTCATTTAGATCCAGTGATCAATCAGCATGAGCAGAACCAAATACAAAATGTTCAATGAGAAATGTCTTTAGAAAAAATATTTTTCATGACCTAAAGCCTGAAACCTGGTAATGATGTGTAATAGTGAATGAAGTCCCTCATAGAGATGACAGAATGTGATACACATCTTTTTAAGTAAATTACAAGCTGAGTCTTTTTTGGAAGAAATCCGGGTTTTTTTGTTGTTTTTTTTTACACATTTAATTAGCTTGTGATTTTGTTTGTTTGGGTAAAATATTGTATCTTACTTTTGACCCACTTTCTGAGCTTCATTTGAGCTGAAGCCTTGTACACTTGCGACAACACTTTATGATCATTCAGTCACAAGCGAGCTCCATTGACCTTCGAATGACTTCTGTGTGGCAAATTTTGCACCTCTATTTGACCCGCTCCCTGATCTCCATTTGAGCTGAAACAAAGGACCTTGAGTTCATGGGTCACTCCACACTATGGCTGGTTTGGGCGGAGGGTTTTTTTTATACTTTTTAATACAATTTTCGAAAATCGTATTTTTTTAAAGTATTTCTTTTGATATTATTTTATTTAAAATTCTTTCGTTAAGAAGTGACTAGAGATTAAAAATTAAACAAAACTTTCTAAGAATGTTACAAGGATGGAGGTCAATAAAAAATATCGATATGTAATCTATTTAAATCAATGGAGAAATGGATTTGAATTACCTCATTGTTAAAGTTATTTATATATTAGTCGATTAACTTGTTAAAATGTTACTATATTCAATTCAGAAAGAATTATATATATATATTTTTTTAAATCAAACATGAACGTGGAAGAACGCTATTATGGCAAAATTCTATGAGAGATATTATCGAAACTAGGCTTAACAGGATTAAGACTAAATTAGGTCTAACCAGGGTATTTGTTGTGTTTCTTTAGTGTCATTGGTCGTATGTATGTTATCATCGTAATTTTAAAGTTGGCCCTAGATCATCAGTGAAAGACAAAATGATCGATCAGAGACCGTAATACAGAAGTTAAAATTGAGGGTTGATGTTTCCAAGATCTTCCTCATTTAAGCACTTCCTTACTACAAAAATATTTATTTGAAGGGATGAGGAGTGGTTGGGGGGAGGGGGGTGAAATCGTATTTTAATAATGAATCTGGAAGGGCGTAAACTCTAACCAAAACCGAGTAATGGTATGGAAAGGTCTGCTGATGCGTCTTACATTACAGGGTCAATGCTTCCAGTTTTAAAGTGTGTACCAGGAAAGATGCTACAAAACAAAAGATGTGTTGTTGTTTTTCCTGAGCTGATGGGACTTGGTTACAACCTACGACTCTTGTTTGAGTTTAAACCAAGACAAGATCACGTTAATAGCAGTGATGCTGACGCAATGATGGTCGTCCCACTTATCGTGGTTGGTCAGTTAAGTTTGCAGTAAGATTATAGAAAAGGAGTTTGTTTTAAAATGAATTTGTTTTGTTTAAAATCTTCATCATTAATGAATGTTCAATTTGGGTTTTTAATTATTGTATTGTTTAAAAATATGTTGTTGTTTTTTTTTTAAATCATCTTTAGTTAAAAGCAAACATCTATGGTGTCCTGAAAGTCATTACAAATAAAAATAAGATGTGGTCACAATAAGACGATTAAATAAGACGTTAAGTGCAAGCATGAAAATTGTATTCTTAAGAATATAGCAAAATATGAAAAGTTAAGCTAATTAATTTAAAAAAACAACTTAATGCTTCTGGTGGCAAACGATGAAACTCATTGAAACATAATGTCTTCATTGCGGATGACAGATTTGTTTCAGGGTCTAAGCAAGGAATACAGCTTACAAATTAGAACATTCACTTCGCAAAGTCGAAAATCTGACGGGCCAGTTGAAAATGTGTTGTTCTGGGCTAACAATAAAATCATTGCAGAGCCCGCGTTCAGGAGACATGAATTTGAGTTGAGGATGAACACGGCATTTCTTGGTATGGAAATGGAGGTAAATCTCACCGATGTTGAAACGATGAATTTGCTCTTTTATCAACCTATTTACGAAACCGACAACAGTTTCAACTGCCAACATTTACGTGAAAATATGACAGCTCGCAGTACCGCATGGTATGTTACTGAAGATTACAGGAACAGAACAGACATGAAGCCCTTTGAGAACTCTTTCATCAATCTGAAAAAATTGTTGACTTGTAGCTACGTCAGTTTCAACTCTTCCGTCTACAGCATAGATGTTACTTGTGATGATTTTAGACATAACGTCAGTGTTACCATAGACCTGATGGTTGTGAAACTAGTGTTCACCGATCTCAAAGACATGACCCTGATGGACGTTGATGGTCAAGAGAAACTGAATGTTTGTCATGAACTACTGGACCGAGAAGTTTAACGTTTCAAATCCGAGCAAGTTTTACGAAGTTTGGCATTTAATCCATTGTCTGGAGCAGATCTGGCGGAATACATAATATCGCTGAGCTGTATGAGTGCCTCCATGATTTGTCTTCTCGCGACCCTGGTGACCTATTTGAGACTACGTGTACTAAGAACGGAAGCTGGTATCAACAACATGTTTCTAAGTTTTAGCTTGCTGTTGGCTCAAGGCTCTCTTTTGGCCAGCGCACATGTGTCGGTTTTTTACAAAACAATTTACTATATATAACTGTCATGGACAGTTTAAGAGATAAGAGTGATATATCGTTATTTACATTTTGTGTTATATAACAGTTAATGAAAAAATAATTAAGTTAGACCGAGGGTCAGGATTTTTTTTTGTGTGTTTTTATTTTGTTTGTTTGATTGTTGTTTTTTTTTAAATTTTATTTATTTATGAATTTTAAAAAGTATAATTTAAATAAAAATCAACTGTCTAAAAAAAATGTTTCACTTAACTATAGTTTTATGTACATAATTAAAATTATTTTTTCATTCATGTGGTATTTTCAACTTCACTTTGAAATGTATGTGCCACTCTCAAAAAAAAATTTAAATTAAAGAAACTAAAACATTTTGGGCAAAAACAGTCTATTAAAAATATATATATACTATTACTTGTCCTAATCTAGGAAATGCATAATATTACCGAAATATAAATGTCTCAACTTTAAAAAAAACAACAACTGATCTGCACCCTCATTTCTATTTGTAGCCAAGGTCCAAGCAGCCTGTGTATTTTACTCGGCTCAACAACCCACTACCTGTGGCTGTGGATGTTCTCGTGGACCTTCGTCTGCAGCCTCCCCATGTTCAGGGTTTTCACCGCCAAGGTCCGAGCCACAGCTACCTGTGGCTGTGGATGTTCTCGTGGACCTTCGTCTGCAGCCTCCCCATGTTCAGGGTTTTCACCGCCAAGGTCCGAGCCACAGCAACAACGCACCGACGTGGAAACGCTCCGGTTCTGTGGAGATGTTTGGCATCGTTACTTCTTCCTTCGGTTGCTAGCGTCACTGTGATCTTAACATCGCATTACACGTCACACGAAGGGCCACAATAGGATATGGAGATTTTAAATGCTACCTGAATTCAACTTTTTTAGTCGGCGAGTGATCAAGTTTAAATATTAAAATTATTCGTATTACAAAACGCAATATTCGCATATTTCAGTAGCGTCTCTGGAGAGGATTTGCATTATTTTAGTTATCATTTTATTATTATCATCTGTTTCGTGGAACACTATTAATCTAAATGAAATATTGCAAAGAAGAGAAGGTTTTATCTCTATGAAAATTGTGCGCTTTCTCACTTAAGCATTAAAGTAAGGTATTTTGTGGAGTGAAATTTCAAACTTAAACCAACACAACACGGCAGATTTCATTCCTTTCAAACTAGAATGTGTTTAACAGCAGCGCAGGGGTGTGTAGAAGATAAGCCCCTTATTTTCATCACTGAATTATAAAGAAAATTGGTTGTAAAAAAACTATATTATTTCTAAACGTTTAGGTTGTGTCAAAATTGTATAATTTTTAATAGTTTCATTTACTTGTATTTTAAACACTTTTATATTTTTGTTATTGAAGGTGTTGTGATGATTGGCCCACATGCGATGATCTCCATCAGCAACATTGTCTTTTTCCTCATCACCATCTACAATATCTACACGGTGCGTAAGATGGTCAACGTCTTGTTCTGTCAGGAAAGGCGATCGTAAGAACCTGTACACGTCTTTTAGATTGTCTTCAATGACGGGAGCTTTCTGGACACTGTCCGTGCTGGCCGAGGCCGTTAACAACAACATACTGAGGTAATTGGCGTATTAAGATACATTCATAATTCTAACAACAGATTCTAAGGTGTAAAAGAATTGATATCATTAAAACGGACCAATGCTTGGTAAGAAAATAATAAGAAAGCAAAATAACTAGACCCATATTACAATGATATGAAGCTAAAATTAAATTAGTTTAAATTGAGTGTCATTCATATTAACGACGAGTTAAATCCAATAAATTTATTATGGTGGAGATGTGGGTTAACTTCAGCTGAAGTAATGTCTCCTTACAAGCTTATTTTAAACAAAATTTTCATCTGAATATTAGCGTCGTTTTTAAAAGTCACTTTGAAGAGAGTTTTGCTTTTATATCAAGCAACAGTTAAACCCAATCAATTGATTTTTTTCCCTCTTTTCTTTTTTTTAAATATATAAGTAACATTATCAAATTTAAATGCTTATAAATCATGAGATAAGCTACAATTATTCATTGCCTTTTGACAGTTGTTTATTCTCCACAGTCTGATATGATACTGGCTGGCACGCCTTCTCACGTGAAATATCTAAATATAAATGATCTAGTCACACTAGCCTTAATATATATATATATATATATATATATATAT